CGACCAACATCTTTTTAAAGCGATACCACCTCGAGCGCTTCTTCCTTCCAGTCGACCCAGCGCTGCAAAGCGTCTTGCTCTTTCTCCTTGGCCCTTTTCTATGGTATGGCACGGCCGTCGTCCCGAGCTTCTTGCAAGCGTACCAGTACCTCCTCGTGTGTCTTTTTACCACCAATTATGCCTATCGCATCGAAGTCGCGATCGTCGGCACCGCGTACATCGCCATCATTGCCATTGCACCGGTGCTCTATGGTGCCCTTGGGTTCTGGCGCCGACCGCGCGCGTCGGCCATGCGCTACAGCAGCGCCAACTACAACGCGCTGACAAACCGATTGCTCCTCTGGTTCATTCGACCGCTGCATACGCAGGCTGAAAGAGGCTTTGGCGGCAGCGTCCATGAGCTTTGTGAAGCGAACGCGGGCTACAAGGCACTGCCCGTCATCAACACGAGTGGCTCGGACAGTTTTGTGCTTTGCTACTGCAACCAGCGACTTCAGGCGAGGCTTCGACTCAGTCTTCTCGAATATGTCGACGTCCAGAGTGACGAGCCGGATCTGTGCGTCGATTCTGGCATCTCGACGTCGCGCTTCAACGAACTCGAGCTCCCGAGCCGACGACCGTCCACAGAGAAACCGTCACGCCCGAGGCTGCTGCGCGCACGTCCTCCATCACCATGGTGCATGTGATCGCGTGTGATCGGTTGGTTGGCTCGATTATGTCGTTGAAAATTTAAGCAGTGTCATGTGCATCTTATGTGTGGCGCTCACTTGTGGACATCACAATGGCGTCAACCGAGCAAATGTCTCTCTAGGGCTAGGGCAGGGTAGGGTTCTGGTCCCGGTTACCACATCTGGAATGTGAGCGAGCCAGCTATCCACAAAGTGTTGACGTCCTCCAACCACTGTAGGAATGCTGTGATGGGCAGTTCGTTTGCAGGGTGTTTGGAGGCCTTTTCACGAAGGGAATCTTGCGAACCGTCGTCGAGCGACTTTGGCAGAAGGCGACATCTCGACGCCGGCCATGTAACTCGCCTCACCTCATCCGAGGTCCTGGCAGTAATGAAGGCTAAATGTCCTTTGCTTCCCGAGTAGTGTAGCTGACTGCAAACGAGAGAGGGCTTCTTTGATAAAATCAAACGTTTTTGAGTTTCGTTCGGTCAGGATCTATGGAACCCAAATAGACGAGTAAGCTATTCAAGCTCGCATTTGCGGTGCTACATGCACCACTCGGATGGTATGTCGGGTCGAATAATGCACAGTGGCGCGGCCACCGACGTCTTGACCGACGTTTGAAGCGCAACGGACGCAAAGGTTTGAGCCAGAGGGCGACAGAGCTCGTTGACAATGTAGCGCGACGGCGACGCGGCGTCTGGAATCGCTGCGTGGTGGCGCGAGGCAGCGCCGTCCAAACTGCACAAGAGACTCAGTCGGATCTTGGCTTGGAGAACGTCGTTTTCGTAGCAGAGGAGGAAGACATCGGCGGCGCGGCTGCAAATCGCAGGCGACGCTTGGTACTTTGGGTTGAGCTCAAAGATCGAGTAGAGCGTGCCACCAAGGGAGACGAGATCGTCGTCGTCGTCACCGTGGCCTTTTCTCCGATGGTGCACGCCAAAGGCTGTAAACAAAAGCCGGTTCTTGGCGTTATTGTTGCGCCAACTCGCGTAGAAGGACCGGCTGAGCGGTGCGACCTTCCGAGGGCCTATTTCAAAACGGTCAGAGTTCAATCTATACGATGTGCCGTCGTACGCAGATGGCGCACGCTAAAGCCGTAGAGCAGTGGCATGGACCCCATGAGAACCATGTAAAAGACGGCAACGAGAAATACTTCAATCGCTTCGTCTTGGTCCGTGAGAAGACACTCGAGGAGGTAGCTGTATGTGGATAGAAAGAAGCTCACGTTGCTGCCGAGCCACGTCAGGAGTGGGCCGTAGATCGAGACGAGGACCGCCAACAGCGTCGGGTCGACTTGAGCAAAGCGATGCTCGTTGCCGTGGCGCTTGAGCCAGCGCGAGACGAGGCAGATCGCCGCATACGCAATCCAAACCTAAGAGCAACAAGGCTAAACGCGAAAATAAGAGCTTAGTCGTACGACGCGGGAGAGGTATAAGAACGAGATGAGCAGCAGCGGAATGTCTTGGTTTTGGCTCGATCGAAGAATGGCCACGCCGAGCGTATCCGAGCTGATCCAAATGTCGAGCAGAAAGGCGAGGGCGACGTTGGTGTTCATAAGAACCAGCGCCGTCGGGTCGCCAAGTACGACCACGTAGCGCCACGCACCCGCATTTTTCAAGTCGGTGCGGTGTCCATGGACAGCAAGGATGCGCTCGAGCTGGAGATACGGGCCATAGTACCGGCGCCAGAGCAATCGTAGTACATAGCACGTCAAAAACACTCGATAGAGTAGCTTGAGCCAAAGCCACTCGGGATACGCGTAGACGCGAAGGACGTAGTATAACGTGTAGGTGCTGGTGGTGTCGCGACCGAGCACGTCATTACCAGCGACGAGCCAGAGGCACGCTTCGCCGAGGTTGATGGTCAGCATACGCGTGTGGCCACAGGTGCCTCGTTGGCTCCAGTTGGTGAGCTTGTGGTCGGCAGCCGCAAAGGCGCACACGAGCGATCGCATGCTCTCGCCAAAGTAAATGGATCCGGGCAGCCCGACGAGGAAGCGACTCGGGCAGTCGTTGGCGGACATGGGTGGCTTGTTGCTCGTCTCGAGAACTGTTCGTAGCACTTGAAGGCTCTGGGCTGTGTCGAGGTAAAAGGTCGCGGCGTGTGGTAGCGTGCTGTGGTTGTACTCGCGCTGGAAGCGCGCCAAGGCCGAGGTGTTGAACACTGTAAAGTTGCTTGGCGACGGTGGGATGTTGGCGTCGACGTCCCATGGCCATGGTTCGGAGAGGTACGCCTTGAACGGCTACGAGAGAGAGTGAGAGAGTGCGCGTATGGTCAACACGACCATCGAGAGCAGGTTGACGAGCATGATGAGGCTGATCGCGAGCGCGGCGCGGTGCCGCTTGACGCGCGGCGGCGGCTTGGCTGCTTGCACAAGCTCGGCTGCCGGACCCGCCACCGTGTCACGCATGTCGAGTGCCCAATTTGTCAAGTGGACCGACATTTTATTTGGATCAAACCAGTTACGGCCAAACGCACGTTGGCGAGCACGTCAACAAGCCGCAAGCAATGGCTGCGATGACGGGGTATACTATCGCTGAAACGGCTCCGAGCGATGCGGAATGGTGGCCCCACTCAGCGGTCCGCCATCCAGCTCCCGTTGGCAACGACAGCAACCTCGCACTTGCCAGAAGCTACATTGTGCATGGGCGGCGTGACGAGGTGACACGAGCAACTACGAAGCGCTGGTGCACGCGGCAACGGGGCAATGCGATACCTCGATCTGCAGCCGAGGAATGCATTCGTGCTGCTTTGGACTCCAGGACGCGTATTAAAAAAGGACACGTATGGGCTGTTGGCGACCACGAAAGCGCTATTTGGCCCCGTCGCGCAACCTGCAGTGGGTCGTCAGTGTGCCACACCGCCGTGTATTGACCCAAGCCCTGAGACTAGACTTGGACACAGTGATGGAAATTGGAAAGTGAATTGAGATGTTAGTCTGGTGGTCAATATCGTCAGAGACACGCAATACAAAAAGATACGCAGGACCAGACTCAGAAGCGGGACGTGCTTGGAATCTTCAACTATACCAAAGACACGTAGTCGCAGGTGCGCTGCACCACGCACCCCTTCTTCAAAGGCGCCCGCGCCGGGTAGGAGTCGCGGCGGGGGTCTTGGCTTTCTTGGTGCGAGTGCGCTGGGTGCGCCCTTTGCGCGCCGCCTTGGCTGTAAACTGGCTGGAGGCGTCGATCGGGAACTCGCGGAGAATGGCCGTGAGCTCGTTGTGGGCCATGGTGCCGGGTTGGACTTCCTGGGCGACCTTGGCCATGTACTGCTTGTACTTGAGGTGGACGTCTTCGGCCATAATGGCCACGGGCTCCCACGAGCTGTCTTCAATGCCGAGCCAAACCGTGTCGAGCTCCATGACGCCTGCTTCGTTGATACGAAGGCCTTGGAAGTGGTCAACCTCGGTGGTCATGCTCGAAAAATCGATCGCATCGAGCAGCTCGGACGAGAGGGCCTTGGACGCGTTGTTGTAGATCTTGAGGCGCGCGGCGTGCCCGCGGTGCGTCTTCTGCGAGCGCACTTCTTCCACGATGTAGACCCAGTCCGAAATTGTGTCGTTGATCACCATCGGGCCGTCCCAGGTCGCCGCTCTTGCACTTGAGGCACGGGTGCTTGGGCTTCGAGTCGCTCGGACTGCCAGTCTTCGGTGCTCTGGCATTGCCGCCTTCAGCCTGGTTGGTCTTTGCTGGGTGTTTGTTCTTGGGCACTTTGGCTTTGGACCTGCCCGGTGGCGTGCTGTCGGCGGCCGATGGCGTGGCTGCTGGCTTCTTGTAGATGTCGAAGCGGGTGTACGCACCAAACGCGTCAATCAGCAGGCCCACAAAATCGTCCCAGCGCTTGTAACGCGTTTTCGAGAAGTTGACCTCTTGCCGCAGGTACGACTGGAGGTACTCGGGGCGCACCGCGTGAATGATGTGGTTGCGGGCGGCCTCGGGCTCGATGTCCGGGTAATCGCGGAACCCCGCCTCATCGCAGATGCGTGCGTACTGCTCTACCATGACGAGGGCGCGCGACTCTCCGTTGCGGATTGATTCGTCGCACTTGAGTTCCCGTCGGACGCGCGCGTTAAAGTCGGGCACGTTGGACTTCACCCGCTCGCAGTCCGTCTTGAAGAACGCGTAGAGCTCGTCATCGGGGATCGCCTCGAGGGCACGGTTGCCTTGGTTCCAGCGGTACCGGAGCATCGTGCGGAGTGTGTTGTCGTCGATGCAGTGTCGGAGCACTCGCCGTTGGATGGCGGCCTTGCCGTCGAACTGCTTAAAGCGTTCCATGACGGCGTCTTCGTAGCGCAGCCATTCGAGCCAGAAAGCGCGCATCTTCGCGACGTCGGTCGACGCGAGGTACGGCGCCTTGATGTCGTCCGAGGTGACGATCTGCGTGTACTCGTCCGGCATGACTCGACCGTACTGGCCGGGTCCCTTTGGTGCGGGGATGTTTTCCGCGACCATCTCGGGCTTCACGTGCGTAAAGTGCCGGAACTCGACCGGCGGCAGTTGCTGAGCGCCGGTACGCGCGCGTGCCGCAGGCCCGAGCCACGCGTTGTTTTGCACGAACTTCATGAACAGTTCGTCCATTTGCTCGAGAGTTAGCGTGACCGTCGCGCTCGGATCGTCAGAGATGCCCATAGAGACGTTCGTGCTGCCCCGACGGTACGTAGGCGTCTCGCGCGGTGTCTCCGGGATCGGGATGTCGCGCGGGTCGCTTGGGACTGGCTGGACACGTTCCGGGGATGCCATCTTGACGGTCTTGGAGAGGAGGAGAGGGTGAGGATGCTTTCTTGGAGACTAAAGAATTCTTTGTGCCACACCGCCGTGTAGAGACCCAAGCCCTGAGACTAGACTTGGACACAGTGATGGAAATTGGAAAGTGAATTGAGATGTTAGTCTGGTGGTCAATATCGTCAGAGACACGCAATACAAAAAGATACGCAGGACCAGACTCAGAAGCGGGACGTGCAGACTCCGAAGCGGGACGTGCTTGGAATCTTCAACTATACCAAAGACATGTAGTCGCAGGTGCGCTGCACCACATCAGTCACATTCGGAATAGAGGTCAAGAAGCGTCATCGTGCCGACGAGAAGCGTTTTGCTAGCAAACCATGATGAAATCCAGTCATGGGCTGCCGTCGTAGCAAGCACCAGAGACCGGTATCGACTCGCGGATAAAATTGCCGGTGTTGTAGAGATGCGCCATTTCCAGCTGCGAACGTCCGTCGTCACGTACGAGTACGCTCTCACGCTCTCAAGGAGGCGCATTTCGACGCGGCCGCCGAGTGGCTACGCTACGTGCGACGCTCAAGGCTTCCGGTGTCGGCGCGCCGAAGCTCGTCTTGGGCTGTCGGGATGGATACAGGGACTTTGGCCACGCTCCAGCAGTGTTGCGCCGCGCTAAAATTCTTTTTGTGGCCGCTCCAAGATCGTCCTTCGCGCCTATCGGCCCAGACGTAATTCTACGTACAAAGCGGTTTAGTAGTAACGACGTAGGAGGAATCATAAAGGTCTCGCCTCTCACAGTCGTCGCATCGTTCGACCCGTCGTCCTTTCGACGTACCGGAATGGTTGTACTCCTGCTGTCGCCGCCGTGTGCAGCTCTTTAACTACTGCACTGTCGCCGTCTGCACGGTACATGCGTCGAATCATCATGCAGAGCCAGATTCACAGCCGATATCGAAGGACTCGGCCTCGACGTCGCTCGCATGGCATCTGCATGATACGACAAAAACAGTCCAATGCTTGGAACTACATTCGCCGAAATAGTACAACCGAAAAGACTACTAGCTCCAACAGGTTGTGGAGCTAGGGTACGCAACCGAGATGAAGACATTGTACGTCACTTTTCTGATTTGAATCGTGCTGCATGGACTCGTCAGTCCACAAGCTATCACCATGCCCAACATCCAAGGGCCAACCGCCAAAATACATCCAGACACATCACGAATCTAAGCACGAAAAGAGGATCTGAGACCAAAGAGCCGGCATGTCGTCTCGTGCATACACCCACGTCGGTGACACCCACGTCAGCTATGCCCAGACGTCGTGGACGCAAATTCCCAACGTCCATTTGGTACTCGATTTCCAACAGATAAACACTCTAATAGATTTAGCACCACACGACTCGACAAACTCTGCTAAAACTGCGCCGTAAACTGCCGCTGCATGTCCGAGAGCAGTTGCTTTTGGTTGTCCAGCGACAATTTCATCTGCTGGAAGGTCTCGCGCATCTCGTGCTCGTCATAGAGACTCGACGTACGTCGGTGGTGCTGCTCGTGCTGCGAGAGAATCGACGCGCCGCGTACGTCTTCAACATCATCGTGTTCCGTGTCGTCTTCCAGCACCGACGGCGCGCTCGACGTCGAGAGGCCGTACCGGTGGTTGACGCCCCACTCGGCAGGTATTTGGACATCGGGCGCACTTGACGACCGCTTCACTGCCGCATCTACTTGTCCTCGATATATATATATTTTCAACAAGAGACATTGGCGTACCTTGGGCCGACCGCGATCCGGGCCGTGTCTCGGCTTCGTATGCGCGCCGTGTGTCAATGACACACGCCTTGCAAAAATGGCGCTTCTCGCTCGGGACCAGCCCCTTGGTGTGCACGGGGCTGAGGATCGTCACGCGGCATTTCTTACACATGTGCTATATCAAGATAAGACAATATTTTCGCACCCGACAACGTACATGGCTGCAGATCGCGCACGTCGAGCGCGACCGAAACACCGAGAACGACGCATGGCAAGCCTTGCACTGCTTGGCGGGCACCCTAGTTGCCATCGATTGTACGTCATTCGTGTCATATTGTCGACGTACGAGACTGCAGACGTCGCTCTGGCTTCGAGGAGCCGGCGCATCGTGATGAGCGGTGGCAACTTCTCGTCCATGTTCATATCGCCAAACGCTGTCTGGTTGTAGAGCCAGCCGGGCACTGACCCGTTCGGGTCCGAGAACGTCGAGAAAGTGAATGTGACACGGCCGTCGCTGTGCAGCGTGTAGAGCTGGACGAGCTCAAACTGGAAGCGCACGACTTCATGGAACGGAGGAATCTCGGGAAACGCGTGCGTCTCCCGGACGACATAGAGGACCGTCTCGCCCCGCAAATTCCGTGTCGTGCCCGTGTACTAGATGCACACACGACTCGTCAAGACCAACGAGACTTGCCAACCGTACCTCGACGTATGTGGCGTCGCGCGGTTCGAACGCCGCCTTGCCTTGGAGGTGGATCTTCATGTACTTGACGCCAAACCACAAGAACGGGTCTTGCGTGTTCTTGGTCAGCGTCGTGTTGAGCACCGCGCCTTCTAAATAGTGTTCGCCGTAGAGCACCGCGAGGTACTCGCGGTACGCGCGCGAGTCGGCCGTGTAGAGCGCATACTGAATGTCGGCCAGCGTCATGTCGTGGCAGGTCCCGGCGCTGCGGAGCTTCTTAAAGGCCGAGTCTTGGACGTTTCGAGTCGCGACCGTAAAGTTGTGTTTGTTCAAAAGGACCTTGTACGCCACGTCGGGCTCGTACTGTGCCTCGAGCTCGGCCTGGACGCGGCCAAGGGCGCGCTGCTTGAGGCGGCCGTAGAGCTCGGCGTCGAGGGTCACGCTACTGTGCTGCATTTGGTGCGTGGGTCAGCGCAGAAAGGACAATGAGCGACCAAGTGGTTTGATGCACCACGGACACGCTCCGTATGGCCAATCAGACGGTGTCGCGCCGAAGACAGGTGGCACGGGCGCACGGATTCTGCAGCTGGCCACGTTGCACTTGTGGCACCCGACGACAAATTCGCTTAACCAGTACGCAGGCTGCTCGAATATGCCAGACGAGACGGTTGCGGGCGGCGAGGCGGCGGCTCGAGTCGCTGCTTTTGCCGTCGCGTATCCATAGTCGACTCGTGCGACGCCAAGAAGCGCAGGATGATGGATGTGTTCCTGGGTGCGACGGCCTCGGACTGTAGCACAGGCGACGCGTGCGAAGACCAAGC